TGTAGGGAATGTAGATAACCAGAGGTTACGCATCACCCGCGGTTTATTCAGCACATTGGCCTCCTACATCACCTCTTCCTAAACTAACAAAACACGCAAAGATTCTTACAAAACCACATCCAAATCCAGTCTCTCGTTTAGCTTGGTTTGGTGCAACGCTTAAGGCTTTCAGTCGCATGATCACATTGACCAACGTGTGGCATCAGGGGTTGATGGCGGGCTGTGCCCAGGCCATGGCTGGGTTCAGGTTTGGGGTGGAGGACTCCGGCTTTGTGCTGGGCTTTGTCGGTGGAAGTCTGGGTTCCATCTTGGCACTCGCTGGCCCCCACGGCCGGCCCGTCCTCTGGGCGTTGTGCTCCAAACCTCAGCCCAGCCAGCACGTGCAAGGAGGAAACCTGGGGTACTTGGCACCAGAGCAAACCACTGATGTAGGTGCAGAAAGTGACTGGGATCAGCGTGGCCCCCAGCCAGGGCTCTCTGCACCGGTCAGCATCCCAGGGGGTGCACTTGCCTACTCATGTTGTAGTTACACCTGTGCAAACCCTGCCTCAAGCAAACCCAAGGATGGTGGGGGAGGATTTAGATCAGTAGTTCCCTGGAACAGCATGCACCCGGTGCATGTTTGCCGGCCCTGGGGGCTTGAACCATGAAGGCTTGGGGGCAGGGAGCCCTGTACCATGCTTGGCATACACTGTGACAAAGGCACTTGGACATCTGGGGGCCTCGAGGCGGTCCCACTCCACCTCCCTGTCCTGTTCTCCATGCTCCCCACCTTCCCCAGCCCCCAGCCAAGGCAGGGGATGACGCTGAGGGATTGCATTCGGGCACGTGATGCCTAAGGGGGCAAGAGGCTGGGATGCAGGGTGCGGGTGGAGGGGAGCATCTCTGCGGTTCATCAACTCTGCGTGTCAGGAGGGGACGGCGCGCCGCCAAGCCAGCCGTCTGTCAGGAAAGCTATTGTGTTTATTGGGCTGCGGGTTGGCCGGGCTGGGCCGAGCCAGGCTGCCGGCCCCGCAGGGAGCATATGGCATCAGGGCATGGTGACCATCCGTCCCACGTTCCTGGCGGCCATGAAACGCCACTTGTTCCTCAGCCCGGAGAACCGCTCGTCCAGGGTCAGGCTGGTCTGCGGGGGAAAGGGAGTGCCGTGAGATGCCACCCCAAACTGGGTCCTTCCTGCCACCCACCCCCAGTCCAGACTGATCTGTGACCATGCAACCTCTCCTCGAGCCCCTCCAGCGATGGAGAGTCCACAAAGGGGGGAAGGAAGCTGAAGGCCAGTCAGCGTTTGCCGCACGTGCTTCCCAGGTCCGGCCTGTTCCAGGGCCGCACGGTCCATGCAGCGATGTTCCCCCGCCTGGGTGCTCGCATGCTACCTGGTTCGCCATGGCGCGGAAGTTGAACCTCAGCATCACTCCCTTGGGCTGGGGCTTGGTCGGCCTGGGGAAGGGGGGTCTCCTGCCTCTCAGGAACGGACGGTTGGCTCCCGGCCTGGAGAAGGGGCTGAGCGGTCGAGGTGGGTTTATTCGGCACATGCAGACCCTGCTGCTCCCCCCGGAGAGGAGTGAAGGGGCTGCCTTCAACCCTCCCCGACGCCAAACCTTCCATACGCCCTCGTGGGGCTTGATCACAGCACACGGGGACCCGTGGCTCCCGCACCCTCTCGATGACCCTCCGCTTATAACCCAGACCCCCCGGCAGTCTCTGAGCGGGCAGGCCCTGCATTTCCAACAGAGCTGCTTGCATCCAGAGATCCTGGTAGGTTTGCAGCCGACGAGCCCACTCGTATGGCCGTTTCTAATGAACTCCGATAATGGAGTTAAATTAAATCGAAGCGTGGAAGTCGTGGCCACCAGGTGCGGTGGGAGCTGGGAGTTTTGCCGGATTCAGACAGAGACTGGATGCATCCTTGGAGGAAAGGGGCATCTGTTGCTGTTTGGCATGGGAGCGTGGGCATGGCCTCTGCATCAGAGCTGCCTGGACCTGTAACACCAAGGCTACCACCGACTTACACGTTGCCTTGGCCTGCCTGAGGATTTGCCACGGAGACGGTCAGCACTGCTCCAGGGTTGGGTGCCAGCTGCCACCTGCCAAGAGCGAGATGTGTCTGCTCGGGCCTCAGCACCGAGGGAGGAGCTGGGCGCACTCCCAACGCCTCTCTCCTGGTGGGTTTTATTTTGACCGCCCCAATTACCTTCTCATCCACGGTGGTTTCCCGGCTATGCTGGCTTCGTTTTGCTGTGAAATAAACACACAAGAGGGAACTGACTTCAAAAGCTGCTTCTCGCTCCTCTGAACTCCGTCATTAGAGATCACGGGGAGCAAATCTGGTGCAGCCGTGTTGGGATTTCACTCAAGCGCATGGGTTAGTGTGGGCTGATCCTGTCCCCCCAGGCAAAGCGGCGACCCTGCATCCCGCTCCTGTTCTGCCTCTGTGCTTGCCAGACCCCGGGAGACTCTCTCCTTGCAATGCAGCCTTGCAACTCAGGGCTTGGTCCCCAAAGCATTAGCCACGGGGTCACCGAGATGCCCCTCCCTCACGTGCACGTGTTTGCAATCTTGAGGCCTGCTCTAAAGCAGAGGAAGACGAGCTGCAGGGCCAGAAGTGGAGGTGACGTTGGACGGACCAAGAGCTGCAGACCACAAAGACATCGCAGAGCAGGGAGGCTGGGAGCTGGGCGAGCGGCAGAGCAGCAGCTACGGAGCCCCCCAAAATCCACACTGGGGAGAGCACAAGCTATGTCTAGGTATAACCGTGGCTATTGCCCCCAGCTCCTAGCGGCAGTCAGGGCAGCGTGAAGACGGGAGGAGGAAAGGCTGTTAAAAGGAAAGTCGTGGTCACACTCGCTAGCAGTACAAAGCATGGTACCGCACTGACCCCTCTGTAAAAGCCGGGCTTGGATCGCCTCTGCTGTATCTGCTTCTGCTGGAAGGCCGGCCTCCTGTTTAGGGTGAAAGGCTGGCCGCTGAAGGGAAAGACATGACGTTACCTATGACTGCCTGGAAGGGACCTTCCACAACGGCCTCTCCAGCCATTGACTAGCAAACATCCCCGCAGGCTTGATTGAAAAGGATATAAAAAGCCAACCGGCCGTGCCCAGGCCTGGGTATTAGACAGCTGGAAAGAGCACCTTGCTACAGCAATGAATTCCCTTTGCCTTCAGTAGGATGCTACACTACAGCCAGGGTCCTGTGTTGGCCAAAGACCTGGCCAAAACATTTGATGTTATTTCCATGGAAAATCCCATTCTCAGGTTTTTGGGTTTCCTTCCCATCTCCTTCCCGTTATCATTTTCCACCCTTTTTTCCCAATACAAAAGACAGAAGGAAGCAGGAGAGGATAAGGAAGTAAACATAGAAAAGAGACCTTTTTTCAGTTTAAAAAAACTTGCCTTTACATTAAATGAATTTTGTTGCAACTACTTTCAGCAAAATGATTTTCTTTCTCAATTGCTGACAGGGAGTTCTTGTCATGGATCATTTTTAATGACAGCAATGTCCTGAGCATCTCTTGCTTGGCTCCTTGCTTTTCATCCCAGCCCCACCCCGTGTGCCACCGTTACGTCACCTCTGCTGGTTTTGCAGAGCTCGGCGGGTACTGCCGTGACCCTTGTTTCTGGACCACGCTCACAGACGGGCGCTGGGTTCAATACACAGGTTGAAATGCTGTGGCCTGTGACAAACAGGAGCTCAGTCCCTGGGCCTAAACTCCTGCGGCTCGCCTTGGAGCGAGCAGTACCTTGGTTGCAGCGTGGCTGTGCGTGCAATAAAGGATCGTTCAGTGCAAACAAGGCTGCTGGTGTCTGGCCCCTATGGCTTTGACATCTTGATTTTAACCGTTCTGTTTCCATAAAGGCAACATTTACTTTAATAAAAGAGGCTGTGAAAATGTGCAATAAAAGCTCAAAGGATGTATGATTTATTATTCATTAAATCAAGAGGCAGATGAAATGTCTGTCCCATTAAGCACAAGCGCAGTATGGTAATGCTATCTCAGAGTGGCTTTGTCCTGTACAAAGAGCTGTCTCCCATCACACAGTGCAGCAAGGGTGGATAAAAATCAATGATTTTTTTTAAAGAATTTTAAAAAAATTGATTTTTTATTTAAATCGGATTTTTTGATTTAATCATATTTTTGTTAAGATGCTTTTAAAAACAAAACAAAACAATATAAGGATAGTTTTAATGTAAGATATGTTAAAGCTCAAAGTTATCATCCTGGAATAGAGATTATAACTTCTAATTATATGCTACTTGACACAATATATTCATATAACTTTTTTAGAAAAGTTTTATAAATAGGTTACAACAGGCCATGGACTATATTAGGGGTCCAATCTTATGGGGGTCCTTTATAGATTACTCAAAATTAAAGAAAACCGCTCTACCCAGTGGGACTGAGTGCTCAGTCTAGAAGATCCCATTAAGCATCTCTGTGATGCTTGGTTTCAGTTCTCAAACTGTGAGTTTGTGTCTCCAGAGATAACATCCTTGTTAGAAGCAGCACATGGGGTGGAGAGAGAGCAGACCTGATTACCCACCCATCAGCCCTCTTGTCTCTCTGCAAGTTTGTGCACACAGTCAGGCCCTTACCTTTCTCGAAAAGTGCAGTTTCAAGAAGTTAAATGAACAGAGGACATCAAATAACAAGAATGCACTTTTTGCAGAAAACAGTAATTAAATCGAGGCTTCCTGACCAGCGATTTCCATTGATTTGATTTAAATCAAATCCGCCTGGGTGCAACACAAGGCTGTAGGGCCCGATAGGCTGACCTTACTAGAACACTTCTCCGGCTAGTGCAGAGCCGCAAAGGAGCTTCTGCGACACCGTGGGTTTGTTGCAACCAACAAGGACAACGTTTCAGGCCCCAACCGCTGTAGCAGAGGTACTACCTTCTCGCTGGGCCTTGGACTGCGGCACCCAGGGTCCTGAATCTCCGAGGGTGCTGGAGGGGCCTGGTCTGTGCTCCCGTCTGTCCGCTGTCACCACTTTTGCTGAACCCTTCTTCATTCTGGTTGCCCTGGAAAGGAACAAAGCTCGCCCGTTACCCGGTCCAAGTGCAGCGTGCGCCCCATTGCTAGGCAGCAAGAAAGATGATAGAGCATGTGCGTCTCTATTAAATACTAGTGATTTATCCCAGGCCTGAGGGAGCTGGAGCTTAAACCCATGGATGTCCATTGGCTTGTCCTGTACATGGGGAAGCCACCAAACCCACAGCACCCGTGTCTCTTATGGCATCACTTGAGATGCTTGGAGAGCTCATAAGGGGGTTCACCCATGGGGTTGCTCATGCTGTGCTTGTCTACAGCTTAATTTCATGATGGATGGCCACTTTCTGACATGATATTGCTTTTCCTGCTGCAGAGCCTGCCGTGCAAACGGGTGGGTTTTTTGCCCTCTTGGCGAACTGACGTGATATGAGATTGATCCTTTGTGGTTATCAAGCCCTGTCAAGTAATGCTGAGCAGGACACGACTATTTCTCTTGACCTGTTCCATGATTTCTCCTCCTCTGTCTCTTGTGCTCACTATTTTCATCAACAAGGTGCTGGGGTCTTTGCATGATAAGTAGGGGACAGCATTTCAAGAAAAAGATCCAGAAATGCCAAAAAGTCGCCTGCAGAGATGCAGCACAGAGCAGAACTAGGATGATCCCAGCATCGCCAACACGCAGAGCCCTGCCTTGCTCAGCGTGCCACTGCTTGCTGCTCTCACATGCAGGTAAGAGCTTTGCTGGCCCCGAGCCTTTGGAGGAAGGAGGAAAACCACTTCAGAAAACACCTATTCAGTAGCGTAGGACTCCCTTGTGCCGTGACTTGCAAAGACCGGTATCACTGTACCAATTATTGCTGTAGGACAATAACCTCCTCACTGTTACTGCCTGCTAGAGGACAGATGTTCCCACATACTCCTACTCTGTTTGCTTTTGTGGCATGAAAGCTACCTTTAAATTATTCTTCTTAGCAACTACTTATGGCTTTCTGGGACCATCCAGCTACATTCAATACCTAGCTGATTTCTTTTCTTTCTTTTTTATAACAAGTACCACGTACTATTGCAGGCTCGGTGCAGCTTTCCTTCACTTAAACTCTTAGGAGATCATTGTTAAACATGTTATTGCCATTTGTAAAAGCCTGTTGAGAGTGTGTGGGATACTGTTTTCAAACTCTTCTACCTCAATAGACTTTCACCAGGACCAGGTTCCTGTCCTGAAGACTTACCTACCTCCTACATCTTGGCTTTCACATATTTCGGTGCAAGGAACGTTCAAAATAAAGCCAGATGAAGTCTTTTAACATGCTTTAATTGTGTGTTTTGCTCCCATTCTCTTCCTAAAGCGAGTGAACTGTGTTCACTTACATGTTTTTTTAACAAGTTCTCTTTAATAGAGACTTGGCCTGAACACTGTCAGCCTGAAAAGGAGAAAGGTACAGGCAGCTAAAAAAGGGAGTTGATAATAGAAATGCTCAGGCAACCTGAAATACAGCCGTCTCTAGCAGGGATGTATAACAGTAGGCTTTTACTATATGTCAGTGAGACATATGGACCTGAGCCAAAGCCTTTTGAAGTCAATGGGAGTGCTGCCACTAACTTCAAAGTACTTGGCAATATATCTTGCACAGGGAAAATCAATGGTGAGTCTGCAAATACTTCCCTGGAAGTAGCAATATTAAGACGAGCTGAGATAGGATCTGCCTATAAAAATACATCTCTTTTGCATGGCCTGTCTGTAAATCTGTAAACTTAACTGGAGAGGGGGGGTGCATCTGTATGTGGGTGCGCATCTGTGCCTGTGTCTGAGTACGCGTTTAGATCCCAAATTATTCAATCCAGCCATAACTCTCTTGCCTCTACCTCTTGAGTAGAAATCTGGCGATTTAAGGGGCTCACTCCATTTAATGTCACGGCTGTTCTTCTCCTTGGGCCGGGTATGGTGCCCCTCCGCTGCTGCCGGTTGTACTGCTGTTGTCCAAATCCTCTTCTTAATCTATTGGGTCCTATGAAAACAGACACTCAGGTCAGCGCCCGTCAGAAAGCTGATCTAGAAATCCAGCTTTATAAAAGGTTTCCTAGATGCCTTTGTGTGATCTGAAAATATCTGCGTAGGCAGGGAGAGAGGGTATCCATGTAGTGATGCGAGTTAGCGTTCAGTTATAAATTCCTGTTTTGAAAGTACCTCTTATTTCAAAGTGTATCTGGATGCAACAATCTCTGTCATAATGTTTTGAATGTTAGTAAAGGAGCTTGCAATATGATCTGCATTTTTTCGCCAATCTAGTGTTTTGCTCAAGGGGAAGCATATTTTTTTGATCTGCCCTTCCAGAGACCCAGTCTTACGCTTTTATTTCATGTAAGATTTTTTAAAACTAGTATTGAATTTAGTAACGGTGGGAACGTTAAAG